TAGTGGCAAAATAAAGTTTATCTTAACCCCCTGGAACTGTGTATTTTTAAATAATGGAATTTATAGATGAACACGGTCTAGACCCAAGGCCATATCTCATAGGAATGTAATGAGGTCCAGCAAGTTACCAAGGTGCTAGTCTACAGAAGCAGCAAGCCCACACTAATAGTTTTGCATGTCTGTCTGTTTTTCTTTATTTGGGTTTTCTCTTGTCAGCAAAATGAACTAATTAGGGTATTACTCTAAACCTGGTTTCAAGCCCAAATTTGTTAGAGATTCTAGCCTGCAATTTTATTGTTTCCTTTTTCTTTTTGGATCAATTCCAAGTAAACTTTTTCTGTTTATTAACTGTAGGTTTGACTGGAAGCAGAAAAAAAAAAAGATCTAAAGAAAGAGACTCATGAATCTTCTTACTATTTTGCCATCAGCAGAAAATGCCATGTCAGGAGGCAAACTTGAAGACTCACATTCAGTGAAGGGAGGACACTTACTGAAGTGTATTAATGTAGCGCCTGTATCTTATCAAAGAACCCAAAGATTAAACCATCTAACTCTTAAAAGTATTAAAAACATGCAAAATAGAGCCAGCAATATAAGGTAGTCCCTTCCAGCTGACTGCATTTTATTTGTGAAGTGTATAAAATGTTTTCACACTCTGAAATCATTTTCAGATATTCAACAATTTCCTGAAATGGTTAGCAGTTCCTTTAAAGAGGTAATCACCAGCCCTTGAGCTATATGACATAAAAATGTGCATATACAAGGACTATTTTCAAAGGGCAGAATACAAATAGATCTGCTTATGCCCCACACATCATCAAACAATTGCTTTTTCCTAATACATGTTCTGCTGGAGAAAGGCACACGATTCTAGTCCATTCCATTATTTAATTCCAGATGACTCACTCCAGTCTCAAAACTTCTGAAATGAATCCTTCATTTAAGGGCAATTACATATGTAAATATAGTCATTTAACTTTAGTTACCATGTGTTGAGCATTCTGATTAGAACCAGCATCTTCCTTTTGATGCATGCAGTCACTTTTTTTAATATGAAGATAGCAAAAGTCTTTTGAAGTTTCCAGGAAAAATACATCTACATGAACAGAAAAAAATCCATCACTTGGTTTTGTTATTAAATGATTTTTCTTTGTGCTTCCACATCTACATCTACCTTTTATAACTGCATGCTTTTCCCATACTGTATTACCCCTACATGAATATGTATGTTTGTCTTTCATGGGGATACTGTCCCAGCTCAGGTTCCAGACATTCACCATGGCTGTTAAGAAATTGCCATTTGGACTAAACTCAGTCCCTGTATTAGTCTGCAAAGGCTGCCATAAGAAAGCAACACTGACTGGTGGCTTAAACAACAGAAATTTATTTTCTCCCAGTTTTGGAGGCTAGAAGTCTGAGATCAAGATGCCTACAGGGTTCGTTCCTTCCAAGGGTCAGGACGGCGAGTTCTATTCAGGCCTCTCGTCTTGTAGAAGGCCATGTTTGCTCTGTTGTCGCCTCATCTTTCTGTCAGTAGCTTTGTTCAGATCTTCTTATGCTTATAAAGACACCAGTCATTGGATTAGAGCTCAGTCTAATGACCTCAACCTAACTTCATTACCTCACCAGAGACCCTATCTCCAAACACTGTCACATTCTGAGGTGCTGGGGGTTAGCATTTCAGCACATGAATTTCAGGCTAGGCTTTTGTTACAGGGGACTTGGGGGTAATCTCTGAATAGGACATGAAACATTTGACACCACTAAGGAATTATTTTTCCTTCCTGGTAAAGCACAAAGCTAGTAGATTATCTCTTGCTCTTAAACATGGTTGGTATTGTCTTTATGCACTTCTTAAAACACAATTGCAAATGACCCTGAGACTGAATAAAATTTGTACTTTGCTGTTTAAACCCCTCTGTTTAGGAATCAACTTGATTCTATTTTTGGTTTATACGCCTTTAACAAGAGATATAATATAAAGCTTTCTGCTTTATATTTCCAATGACACAAGAGAAAGTAATCATGGGATTTTACCCTGGATCCCCAGCTTTTTCCTCCTGAAAAGGAATATAATATGAATAAAGTTTGTCACTTAGCCACATAAATAGAGCTAAAGGAAATTGCAATTGGATGCCCTTATCAATCATCAGCCATGAGTTGGGATCCTGGCAACCAAGTTTATTTACTATTGTTACTAGTAATAATAACTCATGTCTTATATTATTTTTGGTGTTTTTTAATTACTTCCATCATCATTTTTTTCTGATACTTGAATCTGTTTTTTCAGTTTTATTGAGGTATAATTGACAAGTACAAGTGTAAGGAATTTCACATGTATGACATGATGATTTAATCTACATGAACATTGTGATTGGATCACCCCATCCAGTTAATTAACACATCCATCACCTCATACATTTACCTTTATGTTTTTGGTGACAACACTTACATTCTACTCTTGTAGCCAATTTTAATTATACAGTGTGGTGTTATGAAGTATTAGCACCATGTTATATGTTAGATCCTCAGACCTTATTCTTAATTATATAAGCAAAAGTTTGTACTTTTTACCAACCTCTCCCTTTTTCTCCCACCTCCCGTTTCTGGTAACCACTTTTCTCCTCTCTATTTCTATGAGTTTGACTTTGTAAATTTTTTTGAGATTACACATATGAGTTTCAGTGACAATTGTGTAACTATGCTGTGTGAAAACTATAAATCCCTGGATAAGTGCAAATATTGCAACCTACAATGTTATATAAAGTTTCCAAATTATTTTGCCAGTTGTCTTCTATCTTTAGACTTTGCCTATGATGTTTACTGAGATGTGAAGAATTTTCACTTTTGAATTCTGTAACTATATTAGTCTGCCTTTTTAAAATTTTTATTTTACTTGACTTTTTCCATCACCATTTATCCCCTCTATGCCATCTTCCACCCCCCTGCCCCACCTTGATCACCACACTGTTGTCTATGTCCATGAGTTCTCTTTTTTTTCTTTTTTGCTCAATCCCCACCACCACCAGAGCTGTCTACCTGTTTTCTATGAGTCTGTCTCTATTTTGTTTAATAGTTCAATTTGTTCATTAAATTCCACATATGGTACTTGTCTTTCTCTGACTGGCTTATTTCACTTAGCCTAATGTTCTCCAGGTCCATCCTTGCTCTTGCAAAGGGTAACACTTTCTTTGTCTTCACAGCAGAGTAGTATTACATTGGGTAAATGTACCACAGTTTTTTTATCCATTCAACTACTGATTGACACTTGGGCTGCTTCCAAATATTGATTATTGTAAATAATGCTGCAATGAACATAGGCGTACATATATTCCACCAAAAGCAATGAGAAAAAGAAGGGTAGGTAATCCACCTTTTCCCCCCTCATTGCTATTGGTGTGGTAGTATTGTGATGTGCATTGACTTCCATGTAGAGAAAATGGCTTTTCTGAACATGCATGATGTTGTAATATTTAAAACATAAAACAAAGTTGAAAACAATATAAATATGAGTATAGTTTGCAAAAAAAAAAATGCAAAAACCCAAAAAGAAAATTACTGACTTTCTAAGGTTACTACGGTATGGCAAAAACCATATGTGAGTGGACCGTCCTTGAAAGGCTTAAGAGAAAAAAGAGAAGTGAAAGTAACAGCTACCTTCGAGGTCCTGTGACGTTAGCTAACAGCAGAGCATGTTAAACCCATAAATCACTCTGCAAATGCAAAGTGTTATAACTCACAGTGACAGATGAAGGTGGTATCTCGAGATAGAGTCTGCTCATGGTTCTACATGTGCAAATAATGCATTTCCTCCAAATGGAGCGAAAATAGAAATGGAGGTAAATTGCCCTCTTTCTGTGACGTGTTTTCTGCATCAATCAAATCTATCACACAGTGGAGTACAGTGAGAGGCCATATGCACACGAGCAAAGGAGTATTTGCTATGAATCTTTTATCTGAATTTTACTTGGAGGGAGAATCTGTTGTATGACTTCATAGTCATGCCATAGCTGTACTCAGCCTGATGACGCTCTTTCGTTTCCAGCTTTGGTCTAGAATGAGTTTTGCTCATCTTTAGAAATCAGATCCACTTTCAGAAGATGAGAACGCCCCAATTTTACAAATGCGAAATTGTACAGAGTTTGGAAAACACACAATTTGTAATACTTGAGTTACACAAGTGACCTTCCTATGTCTATGGCAGACTACTTTGAATTGGACACTTATTTTTATACAAAACTTTACTTCCTTTATTTATTAAACACTTACTGAGCTTGCTGTGAGTACAACAAGTCAGCCAAGCATACTGAATGCAAACATTTAATAATTCAGAGTTGCAACCTTGGTGCAGCTTATGCCAGTGTGTTTGTGAATATCCTTGTATGTTCAAAAACCTCTTGCTATGTGATAGTCAGGATTCTGGACAGTAAGGCATACACAGACAGATCTGATACTTACTGGCCCTGTTGCTTTTCTAAGCCTTAATTTGAAATCTGTAAAATAAGTTATTTACTCACACATTGGTTTTGAGAGGTACCCAAGGGGATAAAATTAAATTCTTCACCCCAATGACAGGTACATAGTAAGCACTCAATCAATAACCACATGAGATTTTTAAAGATTTTTTTTTTGTCAGAACATTTTTTAACTGCTCATATTTTTGTGTTTATTTTCCTTAGGTTGGAGGAGCAACAAGATACTTATTTCCATATATAGATGTCATTTCTATATCATCTCCCACAGACTTAAAGATGCATTCCATTTGTTCAATCCATGTTTAATGAGCAACCACTTAATGCAAGAAAACTATGTGTTAAAATATTGAAACCTCTCAAGAAAGCCGAGAAGTAGGTATGGATGGCTTCATTTCACAAGGGGCGAAACGGAGCCTCAGAGACGTTGATTGGCGCACCCCCCTCCACACAGAGTTGACACTTGAAGAAAAGGTGCCTCTAACGTGGAAGCCCCTGCTCTGCTTAGTACCACACAGTGTCTCCCCGTCTCCCCTTTCATAAGGGTCAGAAGGTAAGGATCAGAGCTGCGGCGGCTTCTGTCTCCACGCCCACGTCATTGTGAGCTGGCTGTTTGGCCGTTGGCGCCCCCACGGCTCGGTGACCACAGCGGTGACCACGCGCCCCCACGGCTCGGTGACCACGGCGGTGACCACGGCTCGGAGACATGGCAGCGGTGACTGCGCTGTGCCGGAAGGCATGGGACTACGTGAAGACCAAGGAGTTTCGGGATTATGTGACCAGCACACACCTTTGGGGTCCCGTATTCAACTGGGGCCTGCCGCTGGCTGCCTTTAAGGACATGAAGGCGTCCCCGGAGATCATCAGCGGCCGCATGACCACGGCGCTCATCTTCTACTCGCTGGCCTTCATGCGCTTCGCTTACCGCGTGCAGCCCCGCAACCGGCTGCTGATGGCCTGCCACGGCACCAACGTGGTGGCGCAGAGTGTGCAGGGCAGCCGCCTGCTCATCCACCGCTACGGCGGCGGCCTGAAGGCGGCTGCTGACACCGACATGGACACCAACACCGACACCAAAGCCGACACCGACACCGACACCACGGAGTGTGAGAGCGAGTGCGTCTGCGACCCTGGGGAGAGCGGCTTCTTCTAGGTGGCCGCCGGCCCCCACCTGCAGGCCCCGACGTGAGATTCATAAAGGCTGAGACGGCCCCATCGAATCTTGGCAGCTTGCCAGCTCCGAACTGTTATTCTTCCGAAAGACGAATAAAAGTTTGGGTTTGACTCTAAGATAGTGCAAATCTCATTTAAACCTGCAGGTTGGTTAATAAAAAATAGAAAGTAGCACAGAAAAAAAATAGAGAAAAAGATAAAGATTTGAATATCAATTGTGTAATTGTGGTGGGGTTTTTTTTGTTGTTGTTGTTTTTTAAGTGTGCCACTGGAACTATAGTTCCAAGCAGGCAAGAACTTTTAGGTGTACTCTATGGTCCCAAATAACTCCTCAATAAACTTTGGTTGGATAAATACCTGGAATATAAGAAGCTATATGTGATCCCCAACTCTGTGCAGTTGATGTCAAAACCTGTACTATATGGAATTAAGAGAAGGTAGGGAGGAGATTGGGAATTAGGTCGGGGGGACATGTTGGTTGGAGAGCACTGAGCAGGGAGGAGAATGAGGAGGACTTGGCATGCATGCTCTAGCGAAGGCAAGGAGCTGGCAAGGTAGACCAGGTGGCTTGAACCATCCCTCCATGTGGCCAGAGAAAACAACATCAAGGGGGATCTGCAGCCCAGTTTCACGGGGCCCTGAACAGTGGGTTGACATTATCCTGTAGAAGCTGGAGGGTGGGACTAAGTACAGAGAGGAATTTAATGGCCATTCAGAGCTTCTTTCTTTGACCCGCTGGGCTTCAATGTTGTGCGTCTCCATAAGCCAGGAACGCTGGCTTTGCATTCTATCAGTACATATGCTCGGTACCATCTAGAAATACAGAGACGTGGAACTATGGAAATGTCTTCAAAGAAACTCGCAAGGCAGGGGTTTCCTTACCCCCTGCAGAGACATCTTCTGTCCAAGGGGAAGGATTCCTTGTCATGATTTATGATGCAATGTTTCTGAGGTAGGACTGACTGAGAGATCAGACCGCCAGAATTCCGTGGGACAATGCCTGCCCAGGGGGCTGTGCTGGGCCCGGGGCTGTTTTCACATTCACAGAGGTGCCGCCCTCTTTGTTTTCAGGGGTGTTGTGGCAGTTTCTGCAGGAGCTTTGCAGGGCTCCAGGGCTGGCACTTCTTCTGAGCGGATAAATCAGGAGAGGAAGTGTTATCTTTGTGAGAACGCAGGAGGGTGCGCTGACTATGCGGAACACAGGGAGCGAAATCCTGAACACTGATTCGTTTTGATCTGTTTGCAGGCATGTGTCTTAGGGCACGTTGAATGCCGCTTGGCTGGGATATTCTGGGCTACCTAGTGGTTACAAAATGGGCTGTGACATTTACCTACGTTATTTGCATGTCTCTTCTAGCTTAATAAAAATAAAGTCCTTCCTCCGCTGTTTTTTGTCCTATGCAACCTCTCTCACTCCTGCCTTTTTACAGTTGAGTTTATAGAAATGGGACATTTGTTCACTGGATAATGCACCCTTGCAAAACAGGCCAGTCACCAGTCATGTGGAGCTTCAGTAGAAATAGTCTCCCCAGATATCTCCATCCCTCCCTTTCCTCCTCCTCCTCCTCCTCCTCCTCCTCCTTCTTCTTCTTCTTCTTCTTCTTCTTCTTCTCTCTCTCTCTCTCTCTCTCTCTCTCTCTCTCTCTCTCTCTCTCTCTCTCTCTCTCTCTCTCTCTCTCTCTCTCTCTCTCTCTCTCTCTCTCTCTCTCTCCCTGCCTCAGAATCCAAAAGGGCAATTTTTGTGCTTATCCTAGTTACCCTCCTTATAGCATTGCCTGATCTTTCTTTTATACTTTTTTTCTCTCACTTCTTCGCTGCCAGGTCTCCCACACCCGTGGCTACTCTTTTCCAGTCTTCACAGGGGCTTCTTTTCTGCTCACCCTCAAATGTCCCTGTGCCTTTGTTCCCTCTCTGATTCACTCCGCATAGTTACCCAAGTCAATTCCATTTCTTCTCGCTGCTGCTATCTTCCAAATCCCTACTTAGACTTTTATCTCCTAAAGCCCCACAGACAAAGGAACACAGTGTTTCCAAATTTTAGCTCACTTTTTTCTTTTCAATTTAGCTGATAGTCTTGTTTCCTGACTCCCAGTTGTACTACACAGACCTGAGAATCTTTTTTAACCCTTTCATTCCTTTATCCACACACCCATTCATTCCCTCAGTATCCTAAAAGGAGCCTATGGAGGGGCAACTCCTTTCCAAGGCATTTTTGATACTAAAGCTAGAAGTATCTTCCTTTTCATTATTATCACCTAGCTTTAAACTCTTTGATGCCTTCCCTCTGCTGCAGGATAAATCCCAACTCCTAATTCCTTTCCATGCCTGTTCTCACACGTGGGATCTCACTTTCTGCCTTCTGGCTGCAGTGAATTTACATTAACCTCACTGCACGTTACTGAGCACAGAGCCCTTGGCCTCCACCACAAGCCTTCGGGTGGGTTTTGGTCAGGAGCTTATGGTAGACCCCTGATGTCCTCCTTCCTGAACTCTTGCTACCGCCCTCTAAGGCCACTGGGGACTGTACCTGGCTCTTGGCTGTGGACCCTGATGGATCTAAGCTATTGTGGTTCAGAAAGTGTTTCATTGATCTATCATCAAATAAGTTTATTTGTGGTGACAGAATGTTTTAAAGATGAAATAGAAAATAGAGTGCATTACACGTCATTGTAAGCAACATTTCTTGAAGCCTTTGTTGAAACCCACTTATAAGCAACATTAATCTCATCCTTCTTGCCAGCAATATTTTCTCTGCTTCTTTTAGACATTGTGCCTGTTGCACAGGCCACCCATACTGGCTGTAGCTTTATTAGCCAGAAGATGAACTGAACACGCAAAGGAGGGCAGAGATGGGAGAATCACAGAAAAAGGGAGACAATTGTAGGATTAAAAGCCATGATGCTTGCCATTCCTCTGAATAATGCATTACATGTCCTTGTATTGTAAGTGATAATAACTTAATTTTTTAAAGCTGTGTAATAGTCTATTGTATGAATGTGCCATTATGTGTGTATGTGTGTGTCTGTATTCCTATCTATATAGTTTTTAACTTAACAGTGCATCATCACTATTAAAAATATGGTATTGAACATATTTTTAATATTGATATTGATTTTTGCCTGTAAGTCTCATGTTAAAGCAGGCATATTTATAATTTTTAATTTTGTGTATAAAATGACACAAGTGCATAGACATGAAAATGTAATTAATGGGTTGTATAACTAGGCTTCAAAAGATTGTCAAAGGAAGCTTTACAAGTTATTAGATATGTGAAACATTGCAGATGATTAAAATGCTCGAATGACCAATTTTGCCTTTAAAATATCTCCTCCAAAACATGAGGGAAATATAGTTAGAAAAAAATTAGGGCATAAAGTCTTAAAGCAAAGAAAAAAACAAAACCTTTGTCAACTCATCATTACTAGGAGGGCACACCACAAACCCTTCAATTGCATCGTATAAGTATGCAAGAGCTGCGATATATGGGAGTTTTGTTGCAATACGGTTATATGGTGGGATAATCTTTTCTGTCGGTTTATTTTCAGAAAGCAATTCTCTGCACACATCTCTTGATGTTTTTGCACTAGCTTCCAACTCTGCTGGGAACTTTTCCTCTCTCTAAGACTGCCACTAAGTTATTAGCTATGGCTGCAGGCCACACACTGAATGAAGTGGTTCTCTGTCAGGGGTTAAGTATCCAAAGTTTTAAAGACAAAGAAGGTTGCAGAACTTTCTTTATGTAAATTACTGTACACTTATAAGTTTCTTGTCTAAAGAAAATAAGGGATTTGTGAAAATTGGGTATATCATAAAGGATATAAAGATTTATGTATGAAAAATAGCATTCAGTTTATGTAAATAGAGCAATAATATAAAGGAAAAGGATAATAAGATTATTTTTTAAACCTTGAGAATGTTCATTAGGATTTGGAATATTAAGTATTCGTTTATGCATAATATTTCCATATATTTTCTGTGTTTTTTCATAAAGGTAATGTATACATTTTAAACCAGGGCATTTATTTCTGTGATATAGCACAATACACAATGATTTTTTAGTAGTTAAAAAAAAAGAGAGATGGCATTGAAAACATTTTTAGGGGTTTCTCTGGAAACCAAAGCATGTTAGAAAGCCTCAAATATTTACAAGGAAATCTTTTCAGTCTATATTTAAACTTCTAGTAAGTGTTCATTTAATGTGAGTTCAGATATTTTCCTCCTTCCTAACAGGTGAGCATCCTTCATCAATGCTTCCTGTAATGACTGCCCAGGGAAAAGTACTGAAAAGCTAGCAGGTAACCACATGGTGAAGGCAGTTCTCAAAGTTGTGACCATTCAAACTTCCCAAACCAGACACTTTTTCCTAATACATCAGATTTTCTGACCTGCAGTATTAGTCCTTTAAAGTTTTGGCAATAGAAACAGATCTTGCTCTGAAATATAGAAAACTCTTTCCATGGTTGGTTGCCTTAAGGAGAACACCCTTGTTAAAAGTCAAATTAACTCAGCCTGTGTGGCTCAGTAGTTGAGCATGGACTCAGGAACCAAGAGGTCACGGATTGGATGCCTAGTCAGGGCACATGCCTGGGTTTCCGGCTCAGTCCCCAGTAGGGGGTGTGCAGGAGGCAGCTGATGATGATGTTTCTCTCTCACTGATGTTTCTATCTCTTTATCCCTCTCTCTCTAAAAATCAATAAAGGAAAAACTTTTTTAAAGAAGCAAAATTACATATTTGTACATATATATACATATACACACACACACACATATACATATATATACACACACATATATATATATATTCAATATATATAATATTATCCAGTATGACATTGGTTAAACTTACAGATTTTTCTCTCTGTATAATTATGTTTCATTTTAAAAGGCCATTGCTAATTTCAGCTGGTCATAAATATTTTGGGTTAATTCCAAGTTAAATGAGCCATTGGAGTATGAATAATATATAGATCTTATTCTTCTCCCTGTACTAATGAATACATTTTTTAAATAAATAATCATCCTTTCCCATATTCCTATTTGACAAAGCGTCTGAGAAGGTAATTTAATAGGAGATATACACTGTACAATTTCTATTCAATTTCATTTCCTTGTGGTAA